CTTCACCTCATTGGAAAAATGAGTAATTAAGTGAAATTAAGAGTAGATTACCTTCCCAAATTTTTGAACGGAGGCATTTCCTACTTTATCGATCAGAAGGAATTAGGGATAAAAAGGAGAAAAGTTCTGCCAACAACGTGAAGAATGAGTTTAATTCAAAGAAACTTTAAATCTGAGATATTTATTTTTCGTTCATATTTGAACTTTCTAGCTATAAATAAAGTGTAAAACAGAATATTAGAAGGAGGAGATCACCACTTATAGTATAAAATAATGTGCATGAACATGAATATTTTGTTAGCAGAAGAAAAACAAATATATTTTAAACGCTTATATTACAAGGCTTTAGCAAAAAGATAATAAGCAAGCAAACAGAGAACATAGATAGGAAGACTAGCCTAGAAGTGGAGGAGAGATGTTCTTCCTGCTGGGATTGGGAATAGGAAGAGGAAAATTTGTATACTTGTAACTAACATTTTATAATGGAGAGAAGAATTATTACAGGCAATTTGAAGAGGGAGGTGAAGTTTAACAGTAGAATTTCTAGCCAGAGTATTCAGAGCTGCATAAATTTAAGTAGCAACTTTTCAGAATTGTAGTTTTCTCTGTATCACTGAGCTTCTTTGTTAGAAAAGCTGAATGTACTAATAAAATGTGAGATTTTCAGGCATAGAGGGAGCACAGATATTGTGTCAGGTGTCAAAGAAGTAACCAATGTGTTTTACCATGAACAAAATGTAAAAGAAGGTGAATTATTAATATGGAGTAGTGGAATAAAAGAAAGAAAAAAAATGACATGTGACAATATACTGCATACAAAAATGAAAGCTTTGTCAGGATACAAGACTATAAATAACATGGAATGTCTAATAGGTAGTTTTCCAAGGTAGGGTGCAAGTTTGTGTTGCAGTTCGGTGAAGCTAATGTGAAGCATGAATGGAAACTTTTGTTTATTTTGTTGGAGGGAGACATGGCTATTGTCCTCATATTAATGCATAAAGCAAAGTTAGTGTACTAGTGTGTCCACCAAGGAAAAAAATAAGATCCAGACACAAAAATATTTCTCTCTCTTACCTTTTTGTGCCCTAATTATAACACGCGATGTGCTTTTTTATTTCTTTACATTTTTAATTATGAAAATTTGCATGTATATGACTTTGAAACCAGGGGATCTCATTCCCCAAGTTAATTCTACACACTGCCAGAAAATAAAAATTCTGAAGGAATTTGTTGGGTGATATATCAACACAAATACAAAGGGAGCAAAATATTAAAATAAATGAATTGTATAGAAAAACAATGGTTTAGGAACTGCACTGAGCAGTGGGTTTCTCTGGGAGAAATATAAAATAGGCTGTTTTTAGGCATTTATTGGCAGAAGGTAACTTATCTGGATGTTATTATGCAAAGGAGGTTTTGTCTGATTGAATAGGCAACGATGAAAAAGTAACAGAATAACGACTTCATATTAAGGACCCTCATGAGGGTATGGAGAGTTGATCATGAGAATTAATAACAGATGGATACAGGATCAAGGAGACTGGTATATTCCTTAGTCAGCAAGAATAAGTGGTGAATTGAAAAGGCAAATCAAAACAAACAAACAAAAAATCCTTTGGGGTTATAGTCCTTAAGAGACTAAGGGAGTTAGTAGGTGGCATTTTTGGCTCACTTGTAATTCTGACTCCGTGATGTCTCTGAAAAATATTTTGTACAGCCTACTGAAGGAAAAAAAATCTGTCATCACCCAATATGAATAAAAAGTAAATCTTCACCCTGGGTAATTTAGAGTTCTACTGTCGTTCTAGAAAAATAGTCCTTTAATAGAATTATCTATAAAATACTTTGTATAAATATAAATTGGATCCACAGATGTTTACCTCTTGGTGGAATTAGTAGCACACATAGTAGCTAAGAGATTAAATTGAAGTTTCTTATAACGAAACATATAAAGTGTTTCTAGTGTTTGAGTCTTTTCCATGTAAGGATTCTTTGATATTAGGATGGAAGAAATACCCATCAAATTTGACATCAGCTTTCTCCTAGTTATTAAACAATCTTCAGAGAAAAGCTCCTTCATGTGGTTCTGAATTTTGTACAATGTGGTCACAAGTCACATTGTGGCTCCACCACAGCTAATAGAAAATATCACAGAAAGTGATCAGGAAGTATTAAAAACTGGAGATGATGCAAATGGCAGTTTCCTTGGAGAGTAAAACTTTTTCATCTCACATCTCACACTGGAGAGAGAAAAGTATCTATACATACCTATACATATTGTCCTACCTTTAATTAAAATGGATCTGATGGGGAATATGACATGTGTTTTCTCTCTTTCTCTCTCTCTCTCTCTCTCTCTCTCTCTCTCTCTCTCTGTGTGTGTGTGTGTGTGTGTGTGTGTGTGTGTGTATATGTGTATGTGTGTGTATGAAAAAGAGAGAGAGAGAGAGAGAATGCTAATGGGATAGTTGTATTAAGGGAGGTAAGATTATGTAGAAAGAACTTAAAGAGCCAGGCAAAGAATAATTAGATCAGCCCAGAAAGTCCACAAGTGGCTTCCAGTCATGCACTCAGGAAATATCTGAGAGCTAAACCGATGGGAAGGCTGTTTACCAATATTACAGATTCATCTAAGTCCTAGATTATCCAGCAATCAACTAAACACATGCTTAAGGCATCAGAAGAGGCAGGGTTTTAATTAACTGAGTCTTTTTCTAACCCAGAGATATTATTGGTGGAAACCATGTAATGTGCATATATGCCTAACTCAGGTATTTTCGAAAGGGAGTCAATAAAGAACAACTCCAGGAAAAAAAAAATAAATTTTCTATTCAAATTTTGTAACCAGTTCAGAGCAACTTTACTTTCTTCTTCTGCAAGGTTAGACACCCATCTTGACCTAAAGACATTTTATCCTACCCATTCAGCCAAAGAACGATTAGACTTTACATAAGATATACAAATATTCCAATGAGAAATAAATATCCATACTGCTTTCATTTTTGTGATGACTATGTACATAAAGCTTTATAATCAGCTCTCCTCTGGATGGAACACAGTGAAGATTGACATGAGTGAAGCCAGGAGAGGTCCTCTTCCAATTGTTCCATTTGGATTAACTGTAAACCACCTTGCTTGCCTTGAAATTAGCTTTAGAAACAACCACAGCTTTTGGGATTTTTTTTTTATCCAGATGAAATTAATTCTCAGAAACAAAACTTCTACTGAATTATGGATTGAAGAGAAGACTAAAGCTCTAATTCAATATTATCAACTAAATGAAGTCTATGTTTTTCCTTATAATATGGTAAGTAAATGGCAGAACTTTAAACAGGTATTTACATTGGTCAGGGATCCTTGAAGAAGGTGGACTTGAGTGTCCAGTAAGAGAAGGCTGTGACCAGTCAGCTTAGCAATAGAACAGTTGAAACAAAAAGCAGATAAGAGAGTCAGAAGTAATAGAGATTGTAGTGGTACCTGCTGTCCATTGAATAAAAGAATCAAAACCATCTTCACAAACCCTGCACAGAAGACCCCCAAATACAGCTACAAAAAGGGGAATTCATTTTAGCCACTAAAGGTTTACAATACTGGTTGTATGGAGACAATATTCTTGATGATTCCTTTATAGAAGATATTTCAAGAATGAGGGGATGGTTCCCTAGAAAATGTGTGGAAAAGTATCTCTGTGATGCTGAAACAGATCAAGCCTCAGAGGACCAGAAGAAAAATAGATAGCTGCTGTTAAAACAAAATTATCCTTTAAGTCTGCTTAATTACTTGAAAATTGTACATATTAGTAAAGCAGTATGCAATGAGCCTACTCTGGTTAAAATATTATTTTCCTCAAATGTGCCCTAATGCGATGATTTAAATATTTTTATTACCATTTTGAAATGGAGAAGCCATTCTGCATTTACCTTTGAACCCCTGCCCTTCTTTACCACCTCCTCTTCCACCTCAAAAGAAAAACATTTCACGCAGGTAAGTTAACGGTATTTTCTCTAGGATTGCTTTTATGCACAGTACATTCTGGACCTCACCTGCAGATACAGTAAATATCTGTATTGCCAGGAGCATCTGCATGTGGTACTTCTCTTTTCCCTCAGTTGATACTTCTTATATGATATTCAAGATACTATAGAACTCAATTTATCAGATTCAGTATAAGCTCAAATTTTGTTATCTGTCTTTTAATAATGCAAATTTTGTCAAATAAAATAAAGATCAATGGATGTTCTGTATATAAAAAATAAATATATAAAAATTGATTATTCTTGTTAACAAATAACATCACAATTAAATTCCATTGAACAAATACATTTATCTTTTCAATGTTTTCTAGATCATTTGAAATACTTGTTTATTTGTTTGATGCTTTCAGATTTATTTTACTGAAGTTTTGTAATTGCCTTATATGTTTTTAAAAGATACTACTTATTGATATGATATTAGCATGAGAAAATGTTTTAAGATAAATAAAATATGTTATGATTTAGGCTAGTATTCTTTTAGACTATTATTTTATCAAGTACAATTTTGTCATTACAACATTTTCAGATCTAAAATTTGATAAGTTTTTTTTGTTTATCAAGTTTTAGGTATTTCCATCTGGCTTGTTTACCATTTAACATATAATCAATTTTATTCTGTATTGTTTATTTCTAAGCCTATTGGAAAACCAAACTGATATTCTTCAACTGATAAATACATGGAAATACATTGTGAGAGGTCTTCTTTGTATATTGAATCATGTGCGGTATTCTATGCTTTTGTGTTGAAATAGAGACAATATGAGAGAAAAAGTAAGGGAGAGAGGCTTTAGGAGGTATTCCTGGATCTATTTAACCAGTACACGAGTGTGCTCAACAAAACACCCTTAAAGCCATATTTAATTTCTGATTATATAAATTTCTATAAATCCAGGTGAGAACCGATAGCACAAGAAAGAAAACAAACTTACTAAACCGGAAGGCTTTCTAAAGCAGCTGTAAGCCAACATGCTCAAGCTCAATGGCTCAGTGTTTATGCCTTCAGTGCTGACACTGATTGGGATCCCTGGCTTGGAGACTGTGCAGTTTTGGATTGGGATTCCTTTCTCTGCCATGTACATCATTGCTGTGTTTGGGAATTCCCTGCTCTTGATCATCATCAAAGCTGAGCGCAGCCTCCATGAGCCCATGTATATCTTCCTGGCAATGCTTGGGGCAACAGACATTGCTCTCAGTACCTGCATCCTACCCAAAATGCTAGGAATATTCTGGTTTCACCTGCCACAAATATATTTTGATGCTTGTCTCTTGCAGATGTGGCTCATCCACTCATTGCAGTGTATTGAGTCAGGTATTTTGCTGGCCATGGCCCTGGACCGTTATGTGGCAATCTGTGATCCTCTGAGACATACAGTCATTTTTACCCACCAGTTTCTCACTCAGATTGGGGTTGGGGTGACACTCAGAGCAGCCCTGTTTGTAGCTCCATGTGTCATTCTCCTCAAATGCTGGCTGAAATTCTACAGGACCACTGTGGTCTTACATTCATATTGTGAGCACATGGCCATCGTGAAGTTGGCAGCAGGTGATGTTCAAATTAGTAAGATCTATGGTCTGTTTGTGGCTTTCAGTATACTTGGACTTGATGTAATCTTCATCACACTTTCCTACATTCGAATATTTATAACTGTTTTCAATCTGCCTCAAAAAGAAGCAAGATTCAAGGCCTTTAACACCTGCATTGCCCACATTTGTGTCTTCCTTGAGTTTTATCTCCTGGGTTTCTTTTCCTTCTTTACACACAGGTTTGGGTTCTATATTCCATCCTATATTCATATTCTTCTGTCCAACCTTTACCTACTTGTCCCTCCTTTGCTCAACCCTATTGTTTATGGGGTAAAGACCAAACAAATTCGAAATGGAGTGTTCAAGATCTTCTACTCTAAAAATCCTTCCTAATTTCTCATTTATCTCATTTTAAATAACAAAAAGTCACTTTGAAGCGGTCTCGTTCTTAATGAGAACCTGTGTTTTCTCAAGTTTTTTGTGAGCTGAAATAGCTTTACTTTTGCATTCAAAACAGTAAGATTTTGACTCCTACTTAAACAATTTCACGTGTTTTGGTTACAAAACTGATTCAAGAACACAGAGTTAATGACTTTTAATTAATAGATGGCATAAATGCACAAATTATAAAGTTTGCCCAGCTCTTAATAATGGATATTTTTAAAAAACAACACTAAACACTTAATATTTTAATCTATTTTTAAAATTTGTTACATTGTCATCACTGCATAAAAAATTCAGTCTAATGTATTATAATTCTAATAAATATGAACAAAATCATTTGTACTGTTTTTATGGTCACACTAATCTATACTAATCACTATATTAATGTGCTGATATATAAAGTTGCAGTTTTGCATTTAAGACAGTAAGGTTCGGATTTTTAGTTAAATAGATTCAGTAGATAGGAATACAGAATCTGTCAATAGATGTCATAAAATAACAGAAATCATGAAGATTATTTGTAGTCCAATTAACTCAAGATATTTCTTCAATTGTTCAGTGTAAAATTGTCTTAAAAATATCTCAATAAATCTTAAATCAAAAAAACCCTTAAATTGCAGTGTTATTCTCTGGTTAAAAATGTTAAGTGCATGAAGTTATTTAACACCAGAATAAATGGAGTGTTAAAGCTGATAATTCCAATGACAATGAACCAATTCTTCTCCTCAAATTTTGTCATCATCATTATTACCACTCAAGTCTTAAGTTATTTTGTGTCTTATGACAATCTGCACACTAGAAAGTATCAAATATTTAGTTATGCATTGGAATGCATTATTACTGAATTTATTCTCAGGGCTGATTGTTATTTCCAGAAATCTGAGTACATACATAGTATAAATTATTCCCACTTATTCTACACCTAGTTTGTTCTATTGTTAGCATTGTACATTACATTGGCATACCTTTTGCAATTAATAAATGAATACTCATATGTTATAATTAACTAAAATCTATAGTGTTTTTCACATTTTCTTATTTTTTGACTAATTTCCCTTTTTTCCCAAGGTTTCCTTCAGGATGCCACACTACATTTAGTTGTCATGTCTGCTCAGGCTCCTTTTGGCTGTGAAAATTTTTGAAACTTTTCTTGATTCTGATGGCCTTGATATTATTCAGGTATTATGCCCTCCTGCTGGAATTTATCTGATGTCATTCTTAGAACTAAGTTTGCTTCTAGTTCTAAGAACTAGATTTTGGAAGTAAGAACAGAGTTAAAGTGACATTTTGATCATAATATATCAAGGGAATCTATTGTCAACATAATTTATCACTGTGTATGTTGACCTTGATGACTTGGTTGAGATAATGTTTCCAGGTTTCTCCATTTTAAGCTTCTTTTTTGAAAAACATTCCCATACTGTACTCTTTAAAGTAACCATCTGCAATATGCATTTAAGGGGTACAGATATAAACTGCCCTTTTATAAAGATCCTGGGACTCTTGTACACAAGTGATCCTCCTACTTCAGCCTCTAGAGTAGCTGGAAATACAGATGTGAACCACAACATCAAATTCATTTTGTATTATTGTTGTATAAATGAGGTCTAATTATGGTGCTCAGGATGGTCTCAAACTTCTCTCCTCAAGCAGTTTTCCTGCCTCAGCTTCCCAAAGTGTTGAGATTACAGACATAAGCAACCATGCCCAGCTGGTAACTTCATTTTTCAAGAAGAAATCTGACCAAACCAACTGAAATTCTTCAATTTTTACAATACTTATATAGTTATTTCACATTAGTGGATGAAATATAAATTAATAAAAGTATCAATATAAAACCATATATAAAATAAAAATAATTATTAAAATATATTAAATGTCTCCCATGTGGCAAGCTTTGATAATTTCTGATTTGTTTTCATTTCAAACAGATATAGACTGAAAACATAAAACATTGACAAAAGGTAATATTAAGTGAAGTGAATGTACAACGTCAGTTATTTCACCTGCAAGGCATGCAAGAAGCAAGAAAGAACAGTTTGGAGACCTGATTTGAGTTATTCAGCAGGGTAACCATGTCTTTAAGAGTCACAATACCAATTAGAGTTGGCATTTACATGTTTTAGTTAGTAGCAATCTTTTTTCTTTGAGCAAAGCAGACCCACCACTTGGTCTCTAATCTGCTTGGTCTTGACACCATATACCAGGGGATTTACTGTGGGGGGAACTAGAAGGTACAGACTTGCAAAAATTATGTAGATACTTGGAGGTACCTTCTTGCCAATGCGGTGAGTTAGGAAGCTAAATAGTGCTGGTGTGTAGGAGACAAGAATAGTGCAGACATGAGCAGCACAGGTGCCCAGTGCTTTGGAGCGGGCATTCTGGGAAGAGAGACGAAAGACTGCCTGAAGGATTTTGATATAGGATGTGGCTATGAGCCCTAGATCCAATATCATGACTGAAAGGGCCACAGAGATTCCATATACTCTGTTAATGAAGGTGTTGGCACTGGCCAACTTCACCACAGCCATGTGCTCGCAATAGGCATGATCGATGACACATTTAGTATAATATGGTAGTCTCTTAATAAGAAGAGGACAGGGCAAAACCATTAGGATAGCTCGAATTACACCAACTGCACCCATTTTAACAACCACTGGTGTTGTCAGGATGGTTGTATAACGTAGTGGGATGCAAATAGCTACATAGCGGTCAAAGGCCATGGCAACAAGGAGGGCTGACTCAATAATGCAAAACGTGTGAATGAAATACATTTGTGCCAGGCAGATGTTAAAGACAACCCTGTGAGCATTAAACCAGAAGATGCCAAGCATTTTGGGTGCTGTGGAAGAGGCAAGTGCCATGTCATTCGCTGCCAGCATGCAAAGGAAAAAATACATAGGCTGATGGAGGCTTGGTTCTAGCTTGACAGTAGCAGTGATTACACTGTTCCCCAGCAGGGTCAGGATGAACAGGATGAAGACAGGGATGCCAATCCAGCAGTGAAAATCTTGCAAACCAGGTATACCAATCAGGAAGAAGGATGAGATGTGGTGATGTGTAGCGTTGTCTCCCATGTTAAAACTTGAGAGGTTGTATGGTTAGTTCAAAGTACCCAGGCAAAGCAAGATTTCAGGACGATTTTTCCATGATTCTGCATGTGGGAGAATCCAGACATACTGTGTAACAGCCTACCTGAGGAAATGACTTTATTCCTCAGTATCTATACATTTCCTGGTAAACCATGTCACCATTCTGAGCTCCAGCATCTTCTTCTGTAAATGAGAAGATTTAGTGTATTTATTTTTTATTTTTTCTGAGTTTTACAAGTTTGTTTAATTCTATGACATAATTTTTATTTCCTCTAAGAAAAGCAGTTAGTAACAATGTAACTTCATCCTTGTGCCAAAGCAAGTGTTGAATTCTGTGACACAGTCTTAAAATGTGTTTTCTAGGAAATTGACATAATATATGAAACAAAGACACACACATGCACACACTCTCATGCACAAAATAATTAATGGATGTTTCAACATGGAACTACTTTTAAATAATACTGTCATCCTTAGGAAGTACAGCTTAATCAGGATTTCAGAATAAGATTTCTTAATTCTAAAGTATAAGAAAAAAATCAAAATTAAAGACAATAAATGCTTTATTATCCATCAAAAGTAAATTTATGCATATTTTAGGCTAACTCCTTAAGAAGATTGAAAGATGAACAGAGTAACACAGCGATGTAAAAAAATGAGATATTTTATTTCCTAATTCTAGCAAATCATTTCAAATTGCAATAAATAAAAACATCAGTAAGTCCAGTCCATTTTCTGTAAATTCATAGATTTCATCTATTGACTCAGCTCTGGCTCTGGCTTTTGGATCCATCTGCATAATGACAGTGACGAGCATAGCATCTGTAAATCATCCTTTTAAAACAGATACACAGCAAGAACAGCTTCTTATGACTCTTGCTCTGACCATATCCTTTAATTTTGATAACAGCTCTCTATCCTTCTTCCTAGAATCCAACATCTACCTCCCACCAAGAATGTAGAATATTTGCTCCACACGTACTTATATTTTCTCGAATTATGGCAATTTCTGTTCCTGAACCTTTTTGATGTAAAAGCTTAAGATATATTGATAAATATGTCCTTATCATATATTTTTATAAATATTAATAGATACTTCTAATGACAATGCTTCCTTGCCTGGATGTCCAAATAATACCTGCATGGGAGAATGTTTTCCTGTTTATGGTATCTGCATTTTACCATTTAAGATACTCTACACTGGCCCTATGTGAGTGAATGTTTGAGGTGTTTCATAGTAAAGAATTTAAAAAAGTTGATGTGTCATAAAATACGTTAGAAACAGTAAGAGCTTAAACTCCTATTAGAATATAGAGACATAGAACAGATGAAGCCTGTAACCCCACAGATAGGAACTTAAGAAAAAATCAACAAGTATTTAACTTTCAAAGCATGAAAGATTTAAAAGTATTTATTAAACTTGTCCTCTATGCAGCTCCTTAAATGACTGTTTTTCATTTGTAAATGTGGTTACCAAGTTCCATTCATATATCTGCTTCTGGGAGAATCAGACACACAAAAGATCAGTAGAAAATAATAGTATATAATGTTAAGCATAGAGATGTACTTATAAGAAACAACTTAACCCACCTAGAAATATATGGATTTAAGTGAAGAAACATTGCTTAAGATTACAAACAAGCATAATTGTGCTTGGCAAATACATATAAACATTTTAAAACCATTATCATTTAGTTTCTAATAAATTTACTTATAAGATGGCAACATTTCTAATCTACATCAAGAGAAAAGAAGTAAAACGACTTCCTACTAACCCAGAGAAGCTTTCTGTTAAGGCACCAGAAGTGAGACACCAAGAAATTTATGGAGAATACCCCCAAAGTATGATCTGATTAT